AGGGAGAGAGAGAGAGAGGTATCGTCACTCATGAGATGGGAGGCACCACCTATGGTTTGCCTACCGACCATCGACTACCTTGCACATAAACCTAGCCATGGTTCAATAACTGAGAATCGAACTGATCAAAACTAGAACCAGAATCGATCAATAATTCCATGATTCTGAACCAAACCGATCAATTTCAGTTCCACCCTATAACTAGAACTAGGCCGAAAAGAAGAAAAAAAATTAAGACAAACAGGTTCTATAGTTTAGCGGTTAGCACTTTAGAATTTGAATCTAGTGACTTTGGTTTAAAATAAATTCGGGTGGCACCATTTTATTTTTTTTCGTTGTTTTCCTCATCTTTCTCATCCTCCCCTCGTCTGCCCCCCTCTCCCCCTCCTTCGCTCATGCTAGAGATTGCATAGGCTTCTGACGCCATCCGATTCCCCTCCTCCTGCCACTATACTTTCTCCCAGTTCCCTAACCTCCTCTTCGTTGTCGTCACGGCCCCTACTGATGCCCTCCCCTCCTCCCGCTCCCATGTTGAGTCTACCCTCGCCTCTATCGCAGTAAACCCTACTTGTGTCATCGTTGCCCACGACCACCTCAAGCACCTCTCCCTCTTTATGTGTTGCGTGTTCACCGCCTCCACCCTCCCTGTTAGCTACCTCATTGATGCTCGCAATTAAGCAGGGAGGATCATTGTTGGTTGCCTTACACACACGAAGAGGAGGATCACCAATGGGGTCACTCGTAGGGATCAGGTTTCCAAGGGTATCACGGGTTTTGTTTTAGATCAGGCTTGGTTTGGTTAGACTACTGTTGATCTAACCAGGATTGGGTCTAATCAGGTTTGAACCTGCTTGATCTGGTTCAGGTGCTCACTTGAGCCACCCAATACCTGGACCATGCCCGATTAGAACCTAAATCGAGAAAAATGATTCTCGCCTCGCCTCACCCAGGCACCTAGGTGAGCAGCCGAGCACCATTAACGACCATGTTTATTATAGGAATCCATGATATGTTTTTAAATGCATGACTTCTATACCGGCAAGGAAGTGCCAAATGAAAAATATTAACAAATTGAAATCATTAATAATCATAAATATGTTTTTAAATGCATCACTTTTCAATCATTAATAAGTGCCCTCAAGACATAACAACAAAACAAACGGTGCAAGGCCTCCATGACCATGTGAAAATCAATAATCAAGTCAGATCTATAAAAGTTGAACAAAAATTTGAGCCAACATAAATTAATTTCGACCACCGCACAAGGATGCGCACTCTAGGTCGTGTTTGCTAAATTGCCCATTGGATCATGCCTGCACAAAAAGTCAGGCACATGATAACCCATTTGCACCTTGTCATGGTTGGATCAACCTAGTACAAGCCAGACAAGTTCATGTGCTTGAGCCGCCTAGCCCAGATTAATGTGGTCAATGTGGCAACACCTAGTTATAATGGACTGCTCAACATCGAGAACCAGATCCCCGCTCCAACTGTTTCGTGGCCTGGGCTGGCCTAGCCAGCACCCCACTTAGATCGGATCTAGGTCCGCCTGCATAGGCTGGAGTAGAAGTCACAGTCTCTTTGGAATCAGTCAGCACCCAAACTGGGTCTAACCCATTCTGGACCTATGCTTGTGTCAAGTATGACCCGCACTCACGCTAGGTCTAACGTGCATCAAACCTATGTCGGCATCATGTTTGGCTCACACAAGAGCTGGGTCTAGCCAATAACCTAGGCCTGACTAGACTGGGGTTTGGACAAAGCACTCTTTTCTTATACAGATTATTCCAAAATTCAAAAATTAATAGTCAAAGATAGTTTCTTGCCAAATAATCTACAAATCATGTAACAAATGAATAACATTAGTCTAGTTTATTAATCATCAATCCATAATGCAAAACTTGATAACAATTGAATTTAAAAATTAAATCAATAAAAAATTAGAATATGGAAATAATTCTCGAAATTAAAAAAAATCATGAATAGTCACATAATTAAAAGCATATAGAACAGAAATTAGTGACATACTATCAACATCAATTTAAATTCAACATCATGTCCAAAATCTAAAGCATAACATCATTGCCATAATTTTGTTTTTTATTTAAACTAAATTCATGTTTATAAGATACAATTTCCAATCTTAGATGCACTTTCATAGGTATTGTATTTACTTAGAAGTTGGATAAAGTTAGATAAAGCTGAAAAGGTTCCTATATGCACTTTAGAAGTTAGATCAATAAATAAAGCTAAACATCTCTTTGCTTGGTCAAGTAAACAAGTAAAGCCAGCCAACCAACCAGAGTTTCTTGGTAAGTGTGCATCAGCAGCAATCACAAGCAAAAAGGTGGAACCACACTTATTTAGAGCATAGGCATGCTGCATCAATGACAGAAATATATTGAAGATGCATGACATTCACATGATCCAGTTTTCATCTTATATATCTATTCATGTAACAAAACAAAATCTTGTGCAGCACCTACTGAACTTATTCATCTATTCATATATCAAATTGCATTATAAAAAGGTAAAAGGCATATTTTAAATTATAACAAATATTTTATCTGCCTATGAGCACATAGTGAACTTTTGAAAATAGAAAAACTGACAAGAAAGCAAAGCATAGTCGAAAGCATGGGAGGCAGTGATCCTACCATTCGTTTGCTTATGTAGGGATGTATCTTAGATGAAAACCCTGATGGACTCTCATTCTCATGAAGTTTCCTCTTCTCCAGTTCAAATTCTTTTCGAGATTCCTTCCTGGTACCTGCTTGCCAAACTCTACCAAAATTAGGAAGCCAGTTAGCATCACAACTTTTTGGAAGAGTCTCTCCCCTCTTCTCCATCTCAAGCTCAGCTCTTCTTTTATCTGCCCATGCTGCTCCCACACGTTTTGGATTCAGCTTTCTTGACTTCCCAGTGCTAGATGATGGAAGCGCAAGTCTATAAACATTTGGATCGTTATTTGCCATATTTTCTTCACTTATTTCTAACCAAGGAGGTGGAGCACCAGTATGCATATTTGCTTGACAGGCTTCAGCAGGCAATGATATTGGCGTGAAATTCTGCAATACTATACACCAGAAGAAAATGATAGTTTTCAGCAACTACAACAGGTATATTCCTGATAACCAAGACAATTTTTAAGAAAAAATATTCTGGAACAATAAATACCCTCGTTGGAGCCCCCATTAGAATCAGTCCTTTGATCCTGATGCACAAAAGATAACATCAATATTTTTCTACATACAGATTAAGTTTACAGAGGCAATATAATATGAGGCATTAAGTAAGCAATTATGATCTTAGATCTATAGCAAGTGCACATTAGAGTGTCTCCTACAGCTTTTTAACCAATTCTCCCAAAAGTTCAAATAATTTGCAAAAAAAAATTCAAAAACTTGATCTACAAACAAAGGTATTAGACGGATGAAAGTTCTTGAAAAAAGGACATGAAAGGACACATGAAAGTTCTCAAAATGAAAAATAGAATAGGTGAAATGGTTCCAAAATTTATCACTAATATTGTAATACTTTAAACGCCAACACATGTATTAGAAAGAGAAATGAACATTTGATTGCATATATCAGCCGACTATATCAGCGTTTTTTTCTGCATATAAGAAAAGGCCAAAAAAGCATCAAAATGTCAAATTACAGGGAGAAAATTTGACCGCACACTAGAGAACTAATGTTACTAGATGTGGATAGAAAATAACAGGTTAACAAAGAAGAACAGAAAAATCAAAGATAACTGTTGGTGGAGTAGTGAGATACAAAAAGCTATCAGCCAAATAATATGTTAGTTCAGGAAACTTCAGAATACCAACAACCTTATAGATAAAAATTACCAGACAAGAAACAAAAAAAGAATCAGCAAAACAACATTTAAGGCCTGTAATACTACTCTTTACTCAATTTTAGCACTAGAGATGAACAGTATGACATATGGAGTTGATAATTGAGGGTAAGGGAGACTAGCCATTTAGGTTGAGTACAATGCATAACCATGAAGCCTGAAGGATTCTGATGAAACTTGAAAGCAAATTAGACCGAGAACAATTATGAAGGAGATCTAGACTAGGCGGTGCTTTCTTTTGCTAGAGAATATTTTGCTGTCTGCATAACCGATGCATTTATCTCAAAGGGGAGTTCAGACACTTCTGGATTTGGATTCAATCATTGTTGAGTGAACAAAGCCAAGTCAGTAGCCCACTTGAGAGATGTGTGAAACCTTAAGCGGCCAAGAAATGGATGTGTGCCAAACTGATTTAGGACTAAAAAAAGGCAGAACATGGATCCATACAGGAAGAAGATATTTTTCATGATTCAGTAACAAAAGTCATGATGATAGTAAGAGCTAGATGATAATAAATAAATAGATTGTAGGTTTGTTAAAAGCAAAGTTTATAAAACGGAGATATGGGTTGGTACAAGCTGGTTTATTCTGGAACACACCCCAATATAAAATGAATAATTTTGAAAATCATCTTAGTTCTATGCCAAGAATATAGATTACAGAAATCTTTGCTTAGCAAGATTTACAGATGGAAAAGATTACTGACAAGAGTGAATAGAGTGGGTTTTGCTGGCTAAGAAAAATATGTAATAGAGTTCAAGCAATCATTAGCAGTGTCAAAGGAAGAATTGTAAACTTTGGAAAAGAAGAGTCAATTAATTACTAGTGTCCAAACAATGATTAAACCAAATGACTCTCTGACAAAAAAAAGTTTATTCCGGCATCAACCTGAAACTAAATGTTAATTTGCACTGTAACCAAATAGCAGACTCTATTTACTGATAATTATTTTAATTTTGGAACAATGGTTCTGACTTAAACAGAGAAAAAACTGTAGAAGAAAAGGGTTCCCAAATAAGTAGAACAGTCAGTGAACCTTTGATTTCAACAAGGCCCAAAAACTTTAGTTTTGAAATTTTCACTATTTTATGATCAGTTCCCTAAAGAAGATTTGAAAATTGGCAGCCAGTATTCAGCAATTTATGCTAACAAACATGGAAATAAGAGAAGTTAAAAGCATAAAACAAGAGAAAAACAGAGTATATTCAAGAAAAAAATGAAATGAGTGCAAAAAAAACATTTACATGCTTAATCAGAAATTAAATGTATTTTGTTGATCGTCTCTTTGCCAGAGCTTCTTTCAGATGTCCACCCTTATCAATTTAGAAAGCATGAAATTTTATGCCTTTGATTTGATTACGCAACAATCATTATGATAAAATGAACTGAAATGAAGAGTCAACAGTGAAAGGATGGTATCTATTAGGTATAGTTTGCCATACTTGGACACAAATTGATAATAAGTTGATAATACTGATTGGAGTCGACACAAAAAGGCTTGAAGGATTCACTTTTGGCTACCATTTAGTGATCAATATCAGGCTCGTGATCAGATTGGATGATATAATCAGGCATGCGTCACATACCCTTGACTGCAAATAGGATCATCATATAGAATTTTCTAGGATTGACTAAGTATTCGATATAGGTTGACGGTATTAGATATTTACTATAGAAATAAAATAAGAAAAAGATAGTAGAAAAAATTACTAGGACTAGATGGTGGAATTTTAAAGATGATAATGTAAATACTTTCAAGAATAAGATGAAAAGAAAGATGACTTCAAACTTAACTAAAGATAATATTAATATTATTTGGACTACGATGAATAATAAGATTATGGGTTTAACAAAGAGATTCTTGATGAAACTAAAGGTAGATATGTAACCTTAAAAGAGAGTTGGAGGTAGTGTAAAGAAATTCAAAAAACTAATTTTTATCAAAAGATCATGATTTAAAGATTGATAAAATAATAATAATGAGAAAAAAATTTAAAAGATATAAAGAATCTAAAAAAGAGGCAAAAAAGCAATTAGTATGGTAAGATACAAAGTTTATGATAATTTTTATAATAAATTAAGCACTAAAGATGGTAAAAAAACATATATCAAATTGCAAAAGCCAGGAAAAGAAAGTGTAAGAATTCAAATAACATTATATGCATTAACGACGAAGAACAAATAATACTTGTTAAAGATAACGAGATTAAAGAAACATGAAAATTTTATTTTTATAAATTATTTAATGAATATTCCAAACAAGACTTAGATTTAACGATAAATAATAGAGGTAAATTTAATAATCATAGATTTATTCATAAAATTAGAGCTAATGAAGTAAAAGACGCAATAAAGAAGATGAAAATAACTAAAAGTGTGGGGCCTAATGGTATCCTTATTGAGGTTTGGAAAATTTTAGGAGACAAGAGAGTAACTTAGTTAACTAGCTTATTTAACAAAATCATAAGATTCAGAAGGATACCTAATGAATGAAGAAAAAGTTTTTTAGTGTCAATTTTCAAAAATAAGGGTGACATACAAAATTGTTCAAATTATAGAGGAATTTAAATCATGAGTCATACTATGAAACTCTTGAAAAGAGTTATCGAAAGTAAGATAAGGCTTGAAACAAATATCTCTAAAAATCAATTTGGTTTTATGCCTCGAAGATCAACTATAAAAGATATTTATTTATTAAGATAATTAATGAAAAAGTATAAGGAGAAAAAGAAAGATTTGCATATGGTTTTTATTGACTTAGAGAAACATCTCTTCGGAGACATCCGATAAAATTGGAACGATACAGAGAAGACTTAGAGAAAGCCTATGATAAGATTCCTAGAGATTTATTATGATGGGTTTTAGAAAAAAAAAAAAGACGTGTTCACTAATTATATTTATGTTATTAAGAATATTTATGATAATGTAGCTACTAGTGTTAAAACTATAGGGAGTATGTCCAGTGAGTTTCCTATTAACATATGATTAACACCAAGGATCCACATTAAGTCCCTACTTTTCATATTAATAATGGATAAACTTATTAGTCACTTACATGATAGAACTCCCTAGTGTATGTTATTTACTAATGATATCGTCTTAGTTAATAAGAGCCTAAGTGGAATTAATAATAAACTTGAGCTTGGAGGCAAGCCTTAAAAACTAAGGTTTTAGATTAAATAGGACAAAAACTAAATATATAAAATATAATTTTAGTGATTCTAGAAAAATACAAGAGAATATAGTTAAATTGGATGGACAAAAAATCTCTTTAAGTAAAAGTTTTAGGTACCTTGAATCAATTATTCAATAAGTTAAAAAGATCAATGAAGATATTATTCATAAAGTCAAAACAGGATGGTTAAAATGATGAGGGGAGTCAAGAGCCTTGAGTGATCATCTAATACCTTTAAGATTAAAAGAAATATTTTATAAGACAGTTATAAAACCAACAATACTCTATGGATTTGAGTGTTGAGAAATTATAAAAAAAACATATACAAAATGTTTATTTTGTCGGGATGAGAATGTTAAGATGGATGTGTAGAGCTACTAAAAAAGATAGGAAAAGAAATACTTTTATTCATGAACAATTAGTTATCACTTCGATATATGATAAGATAAGAGAAAATCGTTTAAGATAGTATGAGAATATGCTGAGGAGACCTCCAGATGCGATAGTCAGAAGAGGTGAAATAATTAATGTTAATGTTATGAAGAAATAAAATAAAACCTTAAAAACTTTAATAAAAACTATAAATAAAGATTAAATACTTTGAACTTAAATAACATATGGCTTTTTATATATTTCAATGACAGCAAAAGATCCATGTAGCCAACCACAAGTAGTTGAGACTTACGGTTTTATTGTTGTTGTACTAAGTATTCAAGATTAGGTAGAATAGGCACAACAGTTGATATCATACGGAATATGCCAATATCCACCAGGACTTATTCGAATAGCTAGAAATTTTGTTGCATTAATCATGGATTAATTAGAAACAACTCAATTCTAACCGGATCAACCAAGTATCAACTAGAATCAATAACAATTGATCATAATCCACAAGGATCATTCAGGATGGATGGCATCAACTATAATTGACCAAGATCAATCAACATTGGTTAAGATTGATTAATCCTTACCAACTATAGTTGATCAAGACCAAACCAAGAGATTCTTAAGTGGACAACTTAAATTAATCCCGACCAATTAACATCAATCACCTTGATTTTGGTATGAAAAATAAAATTCAGTATAGTGAAGCATCTCTAGCCCAAATAGTCAAATTTTGAAACTTTGATTTGTGCTAATAAAATGATGAACCAAAGTTGCCAAGCCCCTACTGGTT